CTGGAATGACAGGTGTGCACCACCATGCTTTTATTTTTTTTTTAATTGTGGTGCTGAGGTTTGAACTCAGGGCCTCACACTTGCCAGGCAGGCGCTCTATCATTTGAGCCACTCTGCCAGTTTTGTTTTGTGTTGGATATTTTTCAAGATAGGATGTCATGAACTGTTTGCCCAGGCTGGCCTCAAACCATGATCCTTCTGATCTCTTCCTCCCAAGTAGCTGGGATTACAAGCATGAGTTACCACACCTGGCTATTTTTTTTTCTTGAGACAGGGTCTCGAAATGTAACCTCCTGCCTCAGCCTCCCAAGTGCTGGGATTACAAGTTGCACCACCATGTCTGGCTTTATCTATCGTGATTACCTACCCCTCTCTAGTTTCTAGCTTGGTCCCTTTATTACAGCAACACAGGGAGTGCTTGCTGACTCAGACCTTGGAAAGCTGGCTGGGAGTTAACCAAGAGAATCCTGGCACTTTGAGCCAAGGAGGAGTGAGGGTTCCACTTCAGGCCACGTGCTTTGTTGCAAAGTTGTAGCTTTTGTCCTTCCATGTGTCTGGATTCAAATTCACTGCCCTGTCAGTTTTTCTTTTTTTTCTTACCATAGACATTTTTTTGTAAAGCTTGGAAAACAGCCCAAGGCAAGGACAAAAGAGCCAGCATCGCTTTGGAGACACAGTTTCGGGGCAGTGAGGGGGAGGAAGACAGGTCAAAGTGGTCCCACAGTGCATGACATCTTGCTGGGAGTGGCTTCACAGCAGGCTACAGAGCGTCACCTCGTTGCTTAGCAGGCACGTCTGCTTGGAATGGGATGTTTCTAGAAGACGGAGAAAACACCCCTTGGAACAGTTCACAGAGGGAAGAATGGACAGGGGATTTATCTGACCTGTTCTCTTTCATCTCCTGTGCCCACCGTGGCATTTCAGGGACAACTTGACTTGGTTGAGGCACCAACCAAGAAGGACAGAGAAGGAGGCGGTGGAGGGAACTCTGAGCGAGATGGCGCACGAGTGGCTGCTCGGGACCGTCTGCCCCCCCCCCCCCACGGGCTTCATTTTCCTTAGAGAACAAAGATGGCCTCTGACCTTCTCTGGAGGGAAGTCACAAGTCCAACCAGTGACAGAGACCACTTCCTGGTGATAGCCAGTTTGGGGTCACCTAGAAGACTAGAGCAGGAAGGTAGCAAGATCAGCATTTTGACCTCATCCTCTTCTTCCTCCTTTGCTACCCACTGGCTGCTCTGACTTGGCCAAGCAGCCATGGAAGTGCTGAGAGGCACCTCAGGGAGTGCCAGGGTCTGTGCTCCAGAGCCCTCTCACACACCCTTCTGGGCCTGTGGCCTAACCCCCCGCCCCGCCATGGCTGTACAGTTACTTCCTTCTGTCTGCTGGTCACTGGCATGAGGAGTGGAGATGGATGGGTGCCACCTCAGTGGAAGCCTTACTGTGTCACATGTCTCCTCTCACGCAGCTGAGCCCAAGTGTGTGGGACGTGGAACACAAACCCACAAGGGGTTACCAAATGTGATATTGAGATGAGCGGGACCATCTGCTACAGTTGTAGAAAATGCGTGGCACCAGACATCACTTGTCTCTGTTCAAGGCATTTTCTGCATCCTGGAGCACAGAGACCCAGGCCCAAGGGACATCTCCCGAGTGGCCCCAGTTGAGACTCTCGCAGGCCATTCCATGTCCTATCAGTCTGACTGCCCCTAGTGACAATGGGGTTCGTGTGAGACCAGGGACTACATGGCCTGGAGTCATTCGTGCACCCGGTTGGCTGGACTGGGCTATTAACCAAGGCTGTGCTGTGTGGGACGCCAGGCCATCAGATGAGGCATTTGGTTACTTTGGATGGTGACACCAATGGAGGCCCCACAGGGAAGGCAATCTGTTTCCAGAAAGTGCGTGGATTCCATCCAGGACAAATTGCTCATTCCTCCCTTCAGCATGGAAGGGTTCAAAAGAGTTGGTGGCTGGCTGGTTCTTCCAGGGAATGGTCCCTGTGTCATGAAGGGTTCAGTGTGGGTCTCCACGTTGGGCAGGTTGGGAGACCAGTGGAGCAGCAAGGTGGGTCTTGGGGATATGGAGGCGAAAGGGAAGGAAGCAAAGCTGTGAGATGCATTAAGGGGCCGGCTGCCATTTTGCAGAGGCCGTGCATGTTCTCTGGGTGCATGGACTTCTCTGGAAGGTTGCCAGGGGAACCTTGGAGAGGGCCCAGTGTGGATAGGTGAGGAGTACTTACCTGCCTGGTTCCATCCTCTTCCCATTGCCCAGTGGGGATCATTTAACCTCGGAGGCAGGGCTGGTGGAGCTCAAGTGGTAGAGCACCTGCCTAGCAAGTGCAAGGCCCTGAGTTCAAATCCCAGTGCCACACACACAAAAAATCTATAACCTGTGAGGCATTAACCCTTCCACACTGTAGAAACCTAGCCACTTGGTGGCCACTCTGGTAGCCAGATCTCATACTCTGAGACATGGCTCTTCTCCCAAGCCCAGGATGGAGGGGTGTGTCAGTCCAAATGGGACATAGAGGGAACAGAGGAGGTGGCAAACGGGCCCAGAGGCTACTCACTAACCAGAGGTGGTCTCTGTGGCTCAGCAAATGACATTAACCATCCCAGACATCTAAGAGCTGCCAGCTACTGTCCTTGTCAGAGTCAAGAGCACGACCAAGGTTACACTGCTGAAAGTCAGTGCAACTCACTCAGTAGGAGGCTGGCCACTGGCCTTGAAGTCAAGTTACACTGCAGCCATTAATATTTTGCTCCTGCTTGTTCTGAGTATGTCAGATAGCCATCAGATGTCAAAGCAATGCCCTTTAAAACCGCAGAAGCTGCACTTAGTGTGTTGGGAAGGACCTCTGATGTGATGGGGAGGCCAGAGAAAATGACTTGGTTTGTCTATGGCAGTGAGGCCCTGGAGCTGCCCAGGCTCAGAGAATGGACGGTTCTGGGTTGTTGCACACAGCCATGGGCCCCTAGAGGGGGGGGACTTGTCTGGAAAGCTTGCAGGGTGCGGGTGGACCATGTGCCACGAGTGGGTCTTTACCTATTTCACTCTTTGGGTTGTTGGGTGGTTCTGGTTAGCCCTCACAGAGAGGGTTCTTTGAGGGGAGAAACAAAGTCTTCTATATGCAGCACAAGCAGGTATGCCACTCCCAAACAGAAATCTGAATTTGAGGATATGTCCCTGAATTATAAGCCCTTTTCAGGAATGATTTTAAAGCCATTGTAAAAATTTAAAAACACATAAACAGGATAAAAATTTTACCTTGGCTACTTGTGCAGATTGGATTGAAAGTGAAACATCTAAATGAAAAAAAAAAGAGAGAGAGAGAAGAGGGTTGGGTACAGTAGCTCACACCTGTAATCCTAGATACTTGGGAGGTGGAGATCAGGTAGATTATGGTTCAAGACCAGCTTGGGCAAAACAGTTCCAGAGACCCCATCTCAACCAATGGCTGGGTACAGTGGTTCATGCCTATCATGCCAGCTACACAGGAAGCACAAATAGGAGAATCATGGTTTAGGTTTAGTACCACCAAACAAACAAATAAAAAGTAAGCCCTTAATAGAAAGTAACCCTGACGGAATGAGTTTAGATTTGAATGCTTGGTGACGAGAAAAACCTAATTTGCTATATTTGCGTTTTCTGAAATGTTCTTGTCACTTTTTCATATCTACCTACTTTCATTTTTATCAGCTTTGTTTCATAACTTATCCATCCTTTTATTGGTGTTTTACCTTTATCTTTGAGAATCCTGAACCTATTCGTACTAAATCCTTTTCATACAGTTCTGTTAGTTCCGTTTTGAATGAAGTGATTACTTTTCTGATCAACTTTTTCAGTATTAACCTTCTTCCTCCAACACACACACACAAGCACGCACGCACGCCAGTTTTGAACTTTGGTTTCCAGGCTCATCTTGCATAGGAAGTCCTCTCTCCCTTTCTCAGCCTCTCTAAAATGTCTCCACCTAGTCCCCTGGAGAGTCCAGCCTAGAACAAGGTTTTCTTTCTTTCCTTTTTTTTTTTTTTTGGCAGTACTGGGATTTGAACTCAGGGCCTCACTGGGCAGGCGCGCTACTGCTGGAGACAAGCCTTTGTGATGTTGGGTATTTTTGAGACAGGGTCTTGCGTTGTTGCCTGGTCTAGCCTTGAACTGGTAGAAGAATCAAGAAAATAGCAGGAAATGGACAACCACGGAGAATCGATGACAATTCAAGGACATCAGAGGACTGCCACAGGAGCCCCTGACACTGGCACGTTAGCCACTGACCAACTGCTCTTCTCTTTCCCATGCCCTCTGTGGGAAGTTTTGGTGTCCTGATGTTCCTTTGAGTATCTCAGAGACTGAGTGAAGCAGAGTCAGTCATGAGGCTTGGAGTTCAGGTTTCAGACCTCGGTCACAGGTGGGAACAGCACATGCATTAGTCACCCCCGCTTCCCCTCAGTTCCATGTCATACCGTACCATTAGCACCAAGCCAGCCCAGCCACCTGTCCGTCCAGCTTGTTCTCTGCGGACAGGTCAGGGACAATGCTTGTTCCTAGGTCACTCCAGGCAGGAGGTGTCTTTGAGTTCACTAGCATGGGCTCTGGACCTCCAGTCTCAGTTTGAGTGTCCTGCTCCAACTTCGTGGTCCTGAGATGTAGTGGAAAGTGTGTCACAGAGTCAGGCCTGTCCTGCTTTCCGGGACCCTGGCAAGTCATGTCTTCCCCACTTCCTGATGTCTGCACGGCTCAGACCACAGTGGGCAAGACACCCATGCAGGCCTTTGTCCCTCTACCACTCCCCATGGAGGGCAGACATGGCCTCAGAGCCCTCCCCAACCACACCGTGACAGGTCAGTCCCAGCAGCCATCGTCTTCCCTCCAGGACTCCAGGGCCCCTCCCAGCTCTAAGGGGCCGAGCGAGGTCTTGTGGATTTGCCTGGAGGCCCCCTCAGTCTGGAGCTCTGGAGTCTGGAGCCCCACTTCATAGCTTCTCTTGCATCCTGCAGAAACCAGGGAGAAATGGCCCACACCTGCCGTGCAACCATCAACCTGGCCACCACGCACATTGACACAGAGGACTCTTGTGGCATCTTGCTGATCAGCGAGGCAAGGACCTACCACCTCAAGGCCACCTCAGAGGTGGACCGGCAGCAGTGGATCAGCACCCTGGAGCTGGCCAAAGCCAAGGCCATCTGCATGATGAACACCCATTCAGGTAGTGAGCACTCGGCATGGGGGGGGTGGCGCGTATGAGTGGCGTCGTGGCTCTAGAGGGCCAGCAGTGACCAAGAACCCCAGGCTAGTCCGGACCACCCTGGAAGGTCAAGGTGCACATGAGCCCTTCGCTCTCAGCAGGAGACACCTGGCTGTTCTGATGAGAACGGTCCTGGGGGTGGTAACATGGGCTGTGGTGGTGGCTGAGTGTGCCTGGCTTTGGGCCAGTCTGGTCACTGGTGGAAGGCCAGCATGGCGCGCCTGGGCCTTCGGCCACACTTTTCTCCCATGTCACTGTGGAGGTTGAAGAGTGCAGCCAGAGCCATGGCCTTTGCTGGGATGGGACAACAACTCAGATTTTGGAGCAAGACATTTTATTTTTTTATTTGAATAAATTTTTCTTTTTGTTTTTATTTTGAGGAAAGTTCTTTGTATGTAGCTACTGTGTAGCCTTGGATGGCCTCAAACTCCTGATCCTCCTGCCTCAGCCTCCTGAGTGCTGGGGTTACAGGTGTGCACCAGCATGCCTGTTGAGAAATTTATTTCTGAGCACGTCATGTTTTATATGATTTATAACCCTACATCTCCAAACACCCTTGAGTAAAGCCAGTCTGACTTCAGTCCCCAACCGCCCGCCTCTCCCTCAGGCACCCCGAGCAGTACCTGTGGCGTGTCTTCAGAAATATATCCAATTGGTATGTTTTAAAAATAAATGAAGTACTCCGCCTTGCTTTTTCCTATTTAGCAATGTATCTTTTTTTTTTTTGGTGAAATTGGGGGTTGACCTCACTGCTTCCCACTTGCTAAGCAGGAGCTCTACCTTTTGAGCCACACCTCCAGTCCATTTTGCTCTGGTTTTTTTGGAGATGGGGTCTCATGAGTTATTTGCCTGAGCTGGCCTTGAACTGTGATCCCCCTGATCTCAGCCTCCCAAATAGCTGGGATCATGGGCGTGAGCCATTGGCACCCAGCCTTGCAATATGTCTTCATGTTTTCTCCTTATAGGGAGATGAAAGTTTTCTCTTTTTCTCACAATAGTATGTTTCTTTATCGGATGGCCTTGCTCCAGTTTATTTAGCCTGTAGCCTGTTTCTTTCTTTCTTTTTTGGGTAGCAGGGATTGAACTCAGGGCCTCACGCTTGCTAGGCAGGCACTCTACCACTTGAGCCACTCTGCCAGCCATTTTTTTGTGTGTTGGGTATTTTTGAGATTGTCGGTTTGTCTGGGTTGGCCTTGAACCGCCATCCTCCCAATCACTGCCTCCCAAGTGGCTGGGATTACAGGCGTGAGCCATGGGACCTGGCTCCTGTAGCCTGTTGACTGTCTCCATGTCCTGCTGAGACACACTGTGCTACAGCAAGTAACCTTGCGAGCATTTCCTTTCCAAAGTCCAAGTGCAAGCGCAGTGTGCCAGGAACCAGGTTGCGGGGTCAACAGGAGTGTGCAGTGTAATTCTGTGATGTGTCCTCAGACTGCCTTGCGTGGAGGGGAAGGTCAAGGGGATATCAGCCCACCCGCCCATGCCTTGCCCTCCCAGAGCCATGGCACGCGTGTCTGATGTGTGACAAGGGCTGGGCGGCTGTGATCCTCTCAAAGTGACAGGCAAAATGGCGTTTGTTTCCACAGAGCTGTGTGTGTTTCTGAGGAGGAGGACTGAGGGAGAGGGGGAGGCACAGCCCCTGCTCTCCAGGACGGTCTAGCAGCGCAGGTGGGGAGACAGTGAGACCTACAGAAGAAATGCTAACATTTCGTGTGGCAGGGCTAGTGACGTTGGTCACCGTGGCCTGGATCCTTCCTCCCAAGTTGGGGTCTTTCTTTCTCCCTAGCACTGGCTTATTAATGAGCATTAAAGGGCATCTGATATCAGCTTGGCCATTTTTTTGTCTTGTCCTTTAGAGGATGGGCCCTACCTTATTCTGTGTTCTGTTGCTGTAACAAAACTTCTAAGACAGGGTGATATAAAGAACAGAGGGCCAGGTGTGATTGCACCTTCCTGTAATCCAACCTCCTCAGCAGGCAGAGGCAGAAGGCTCATAGTCCTAAATTGGCCTGGGCAAAAGTGTGAGGCTCTGCCGACCACCAGTGGCTCATGCCTGTAATCCTAGCTATTCAGGAGACAGAAATCAGGGCGATTGGTTCGAAGCCAGCCCTGGGGCAAATAGTTCATGAGATCCTATCTCAAAAAAAAAAAAAAATCACATAAAAGGGCTGGTGGAGTGTGGGCCCTGAGTTCAAACCCCAGTACTGAAAAAAGAAAGAAAAAAGGTGAGATCCTATCTGAAGGGTGAACTAAAAAGCAAAAGGTTGGGGGTGTGGCTCAAGTAGTTGAGCTCTTGCCTAGCAGGCACGAGGCCCTGAGTTCAATCCCCACTACTGCCTTCCAAAAAAGAAGAGAGGTTTATTTGTTATTTGTTTACTATTATAGAAGCTTATTTATTATGATGAGGGTTGAAAGTCCAAGAGCACTTTCACTACATGGCGACAAATGGCATCATGTGGCAAGACAGAGAGCAAACAAGCCAGAGAGAACTCGCTTTTATAGCCGGGCCATGGCCACAATAACCCTCGCGAATGGACTAATCCCCTCCAGTCACCCCCCAAAATCCCACCTCTCAAATACCGTCCACAGAGGACTTTGGGGACTGTTTCCAACCCTGAAGTGTAGAGGACACATTCAAAGCAGAGCAGGTCCCCTGATGGATGACTGTTTTCCCCAGGGTTGGCACTCGTGGCTCTCGTGCCAATAGTGATGCTGATCTTGGCAAGGGTCCCTAGGGTACCACTCTGTGTCTCAGTGAAGGAGGGCAGCAGGGAAATCTCACAGAGGGGTCTGCAGTGCCTTGGTCTCCATGTGGATGCCTGTAGGAAGCCACTGTGGTGAAAGATGTGGCTGGTGCTACATCTGTCCTGAGCTGGGCTCAGGACAGATAATGTGGCCAAGTGAGGGTGACCGCTGGTCACCAGAGAACTGGCTTCCCCTCTCTGACTTCTCCTTTCTGAGAATGGATGGACGGATGGATGGATGGGTGAATGTATGAACTGATGGATGGATAATGAATGGATGAATGGATGATGAATGACAGATTGATAGGAGAATTGATATACGGGTGGGCATATGAATGGATGGATAATGAATGGATGGATGAATAGGTGGATGGATGGATGGATGGATAGATGGAGAGATGGATGGCTTAATGGATGGATGGATGGGTGAATGGATGGATGGATGGATAATGATGGATGATAGATAAATGAATGACAGATTGATGGGAGAATTTGTATATGGATGGGTGTATGAATGGATGGATAATGAATGGATGGATGAGTGGATGGATGGATGGTTTAATGGATGGATGGGTGGATATGTGGTTGAATGGATGAATGGATGGATGGATGGATGGATGATTAACGGATGGATGGATGATGAATAGGTGGATGGGTGGATGGATAGATGGTTTAATGGATGGATGGGTTGGTGGATGGATGAATGGATGGGTGGATGGATGGATGAATGGATAGATGAATGAATGTATGGATGAATGGGTGGATAAATGGATGGATGGATGAGTGAATGAAATTGTTTCATTTTGTCCTAGGAACTTCCTGGACATACTGTAGCAGGTGGCATTTATTGGATTAGTCACTCCAGAGCAATTTTGGAGGGACCAGCCCCCAGGGAGAGGGGTTTCTTTTGCAGCTGGGAAGAAGTGTTTGCTAATTCACCTAGATATTCATTGCCAGCCTAGACTTCCTCTAGGAGATTCAACAGCCTCAGATTCCCAGGATGCTGCGCTCAGCTTGTGTTCCCAAGGGAGTTGCCTGCTGGTAAGGACTGAGACATACATTTGGTGCAATTCAAGACACCACGTGCTACACGTCAGCCCTCACGAGTATTCTTTTGGTTACTTCATTTTGACACGGTCTTGCTATATAGCCCAGGCTATCCTAGAACTTGAGATCTTCCTGCCTCAGCCTCAGGAGTGCTGGGATTACAGGTGTGCACCACTACACACAGCTCTCCTTTTGACTTTTTGAAGCACAAATGAATTAATGTGTGTGAAAGAGAAGCCTTTAGGTAGCTACTGTATGTTTACAGAAGGGCTGCAGCCTTCTGATGGTGTCTAAACACAGCCCCATGGTGGCCTTCTCTTCACAGCGTCTTCCTCCCAGAGTTCTCAGGTTGATGTCAGAGGCTTGTGGTTTGTGACTTTTTGCCTGTCTTGGAGTCAGTCTAGGGTAGCCCTGAATGACAGAAGACGCCTGTCCTGCCGCCTGCAGAAGCACATGTTCCGGATGGGAATTTGATTGTGTAACTACACAGCTTAATCTCTTGGGTGCTAGAAACCAATGAGACTTAGCAGGCACGGGCAGAACACTGCCCAACAGCGAGGAAGCTGGGAGCAGAAGTGATAGTGCACTTGGCAAGCTCGAGACCCTGTACTGCCCAGTACTGCCACTAAAGGAGGCCAGCAGCCTCAGAATGTATTTTCCCCTCAAGCACACGTGAAACATTCTCCAGGCTGGCACGTATGTTAGGCCACAAGGCAAGTCTCAGTACATTTACAAGATTGAAATGTGAAGTATCTTCTCTGTCCTCAGAGGAATGAAGCTAAAAGTCAGTTACAGAAGAAACACTAGAAAATTCACCAATGTACAGAAATGAAGCCCCACGCTCACCCAGGTGGGCGCTGGTGGCTCATGCCTGTAATCCTTGACTCCAAAAGCACGAGACCCTACCTGAAAAACAAGCTAAGAAGGGCTGAGGGTGTGGCTCAGGAGACAAGGCCCCGAATGCAGTCCTCCGCGCGCGCACACACACACACACACACACATGCACACGCACACACGCACACGCACGCACAAGGAAGGTATAAGGCAGGACATTGACAGCGTCCAGGTGTGCATGTGCGCAGGTGTATGTGCGCATGTGGCTGCTTGTAGGAGGTGAGGCCTGAGAAGTTTGATATCTGGAGATGGGGAGGAGGGCAGAGGACAGTGACT